ACTTTATTTTCTGTGAAATGCTTTCACATTTTTTTAAATCTCAGTTTCCATTTTCTTCTGTCCTCCTGTTTTGCTGTTCGTGATGATGATCTGATATCGTCGTGCTGGCGTTGTTCCCACATCATCATAATAAATGTTGTTCCAGGTTCAACATTGCAAGTGACCAATCACATTGTGGTGACGTCATACTTTTGCAAGCCAAGCGATTCATTCATTTATGAAATTTGAATTTTGCCAGGACAATATGTATAATGCTTACCATTTGTTTTTTAAGACGTTTTTTTCCGAAGTCGCAAAAGTATGACGTCACAACAATGTGATTGGTCACTTGCAAAGTTGAACCTGGAACATTTATTAAGATGATGTGGGAACAACACCGACACGAGGACATCAGATCGTGGCTTCTTCTTGGCAGACAATATAAGCGCTACTCCCCCAATAGCTTCCTGTAGTGTACTGCAGTTACAAAAATACATTTACGTGGTAGTCTATGATGTGTTGACAATAAAATTCACATTTTTATAGTCGACATCATCGATCACGATCATTGCAGACCTACTGTAGACTACTATACTGTTTTGCTCCTCTGGCACACAAACTGAAATCAGCTGACTGTAGAACTCATAAGCAGAATTGAAAGGCAAGCTGAATAACAATTCAAAGGACCTGAACTACCAGGAACTGCTTTTGTAGAAAGCTGGTTCTCAGTTCCCATCCCTACTAATGATGATAAAATAACAATGAAATCACTAAAACAATAACGACTGCTTTAGATTCTCAGATGTCCTGGAAACTGAAACCAACTCACCTTGACAGCAAGCCTGCCGGCTACATAGATGAGCACAGCGATTCTCTCCCAGGTGATGCCGTCCTCAAACACTTTGTCTGCCACTTGTCTGAAGTTCTCTGACTTGGAGCCAGAGCCAGAAGCCACACCATCTATCACACTGCAACAGAGCAGCATAAGAGAACAGCCACAATTTAAGCAACCTGTTTTTGAAAAGCCCTTAAAATTGCTTTCTGACTGACAGACGTTTTTATGACAGAGACATGAAACACTTGTCTGTACACCACAACTTCCATCAGCAGGGCGTCTACTTATCTCTACTACGCTGTAAATGCTTATTGAGCCAACATTAATCTGTTGCATTCATCCAATAATCTACAGTATTATTGTACTAAAGCATCTCCTAACATGAGGATGAAAAACTCACTCTTGAAACTCTTGGTCATGCTGCACTCTGTCACCGACGATACGTATCATTTTGCTCAGCTGCTTGACCAGCTTCTCCTCCTGCTCAGTCTTCACCTCCACAGTCAGTGGAGTGAGAGGCGGGACATCCTCTGAGGGCACATCCTTCAGCTCTTCCTCTATGACTCTGTTAGAGAACACACGATTAGGTAGCAGGTACCCGTGACCCTAACTCTGAGCTTAACATGGCTTCTTAGACTAATATTAGCTAAACAGTGTTCCCACTCAGAATCATTAAGGTGTTTGACACTTTACATTACACATTTACTGTGAAAAGAAACGGTTAAAGTGCATTTTCTAAGGACAACGCTCGCAAGCACAACAAAACAAAAACAGGTGACATCCCTTTCCTATTGGTGGAAAAATGTACCATGTTAACC